ATGGAGATAGCTGGAGGATCGCTGTCAGAAAGGCGTTTTATAATCCACTTTTGATGAAGGACAGTCGTTTTCAGTGCAGAGACTCAATTGAAAAACGTCCTTCTTGCATCTCAAAATTCAAACCGCTCGCAGTTCTTTAGTTTGAGAGAGGAAATATTTTTAGCTTCTCCAGCCGTCTCTCATAAGGTAAGCCACACAATTCGCCGACTAGCATGGTCGGTTTACGTTGTACGTTCTCCAGTAGGGGGTAATCTTTTTTCGTCCAGAGACACCATGCCTGGATACAATATTCCAACATTGTTCGAACGTATGCGCCAAATACTCGGCCGAAAAGTTTGTCATCAAAATTGACAAAAGATCTTCTAATCGCGTCTTGAATACCCTTAGCTTTCTTTGATACCTTGGCCCATTGAGACAATGGTTTGACAGTTGACGTCATCTACACACCGCTGTTTATTATGTTTCTGCAGGATGAGGATTTTGGCTTCCTTACAGAGATATATAAAGAGTCTTCTATGTATGGTGAAATTTTGCTCATTATTTATCGCTTATCGATACTCGAATTTACCTTGCTTTTAGCTTTAATCGCATTTGTGCCAAGCCAGTTTAGTACATGTTCTTTCTGCGCAACGAATTAAATCTAGGTTAATGTACTTCTGTTTTATTAACTCTAAGTCCTTCGTCTAAGTCGTTGGAGCCCTTACATTCCGATTGTCATGGAACTATGCAAACACCTTCACTTATGATTAAAATATTTATCTTTCGGGTGTTCTTTTCGGAGCAAGGTATATCTGTCGATCAGTAACATTGCACTGCCTGTCTAATATCAGTGACATAATCTTGTGCTTCTAATTACTAAAATCATTTTGTTGTAGAAGTATTTCCTTTAAACATTTGAAATAACTGGACACACGAGCGACCGATTTCTATTTAACGATATACTTTAAAGGTAGGTTAAACGTGTATGTCAGGTCTGAACGACCAATTTGTAAGCAGACGTCAGCGTCACAGCATCAGTCTTACCAGCACAGACAGCCACTTACTTTTTTCTTCAAAGACGTCATATGCCTGCTTGCTTTGAGAATAAATGATATAGCTAGCCTTTGACTGCCAAAACGAGCACACGTTTTACTTCGCATTTCAATCCTATTAGTGCCACACAAGTGGATTCAATAGTGCCGACGAAAGCCAAGCTTGTTTTTAACTGCAGTAGGAGATAAATATAACCGAGTATTCTGTTGGCCATTTAAATCCTATTTGTATCCAAGGCACAATATGCGAAATATTACTTCAAGTGGGAATAAATGAAAACTATTAGCGCTCAACAAATAAGCAACAGAAGAACACAGTAGTCGAAATCTTTTATTGAAACACTTTTCTAAGGCGATTTGGGCAATTTTCGAGTTATATAATTTCTGCACACGGTCACTGCGTATTTAAAGGACAAGATGAACTGTTCAATCGGAGATCGACCTAGAGGGATGGAAAGTGATAAGCATGGGTTGTTTGTGCGATATGTGGGGGGAGCGCTTGGCGGGGGAGGATGTGGAGAGAAGTCATCTAAGCCAGGAAGTTTAGATTACAGTGTGAACTTGTCGGACGTGATTAGAACTGCAACGCGCGGGAAAACAGTCAGTAATGCCTGGAAGGGGAGAGAGTAAGAGGACGCGTTTGGGAATGAGGTTACGTCAATAATCGATCCTTACCATGACGGAGCAAGTTTGACCCCGTGATCCAGCTGCATACAGTGTTCTGGTTTCCTTCTCTGTGTTGATCCAGCCTCTGTAAATCGCTAGAGACGTCAAGTCTCTCGAATCAACCATTTTCGACCACCGAGGGATTTGGCTTTTCCGGGATTTCTGCCTACTACAGAAATGGACGCTTCGCGGGCCCCTTTGGATTAAGAAGTTGAGGCTTAATCAGCAATTCCTTGAACGATCTACACGGAACTCCGTCAGAACTTTCTTTGGAACGACCATACTCCTTCGTATCAGTTCTGACATAAATAATAGAGTAAACATTATTCGTAGTACAAATGACTGCAACTCTGTATATATCGCTGTCAAGTCACGTCCCGCTAAACGAGCAAGGAGTCTAGTAAGCTGTATGGATATGAAATCCGAAGACGAAGCCTGTTCGACATGTTTCGGACTCCTTCAAAAATTTGCGGAAATGGAGAAAGAGATAAAGAGCCTTAAAGTCGAGATGGAAAAGCTGAGGAATCTCCCTCCCTATTCATCCAAAGAGGATAAAAGCGAGCAAACATACGCAAAGACGGGTTCCTCGGCTGTGTCGACGGAGAAGAAAGAAAATAGTAGGTCGCTAGAGCTTGATAGGAATGACAACCAGTGTCTTGTGCGAGAAAAGCGCGGTCAGACGCGATCTCAACGAACAAAAAGAAATCTCAGGGTACCTCGAAAAGGCACAGATAGTCAGACAAAGAAACAAGCGTTGGCTACGCCGCAGACGAAAATCGCGCCGCTGAAAACGAAAGATGATCAAAAGATCGTAGGTAATAGGCAGTCATGTGTTAGTCCTGCTGAATCAAACCTTGCTATATTGGTGGAAGGTTGTAGCCGGGATGCACGCGATGAAGACTCTGCGGCTGTGATTAAACCACAAGGCCATCTAGGTGATCCTCAGTAAATGCATCGTTATAAACGGCATGCCTGAGTCTGTTTCCGACATTCCAAAGGACAGAATACAGCATGACATAGAAATACTCGCGTTTCGAATTTGGTTTCAAATGTTCGCTCTCCGAGGAATTAAGGTACTTCGAGATTTGGACTTACTGTACGCTATTAGAGCTTGCCGGAATTTAGACTTAGATAGATAGATAAAGATAGATAATTTTTATTAAAGACCCGTCGGGGTCCCATCCAAGCAAGTTAAAATAGATTTGCATGCGAGTTTTAGACGAGGTAGGCTGAATCTTTACAAAATGCAATTCATAGTTTCTGAATTAGAAGTCCATTGAGAAACATGAAGATTGAGGGGTAAAAAAAACTCCTCGGAAAAAGTTAAAAATGATTGGATTAATTTTACAGGAGAAAAAACCCCTCTTTAAAAATAATAACAGAAAAAAAAGCGAGCAGGACTGGCCTGTAGGTGGCGGTATATAACGGGATGTTTTCGGTCATCGTCAGGGTATCAATAAATGTCCGCCTTGATGGGTACGAATGTGGGTCAGACAGGACTGGCTTGAAAATGGCATTGTATACGGGATTCACAATTGAGATCGTCTGGGCCGGATTGGTACGCCGCGTCAAAGAGGCCAGACGAGAGGAACCGAGATGCGATCGGCCACAGCACGCTTCGAGCTCAGCCGAGCAGGGAGGAAGGGAGGTAAGACCGAACTACTAGAAGACAGTGAATACTGAGGGTTCCACCGTGAGCGTCGACAGACCGCATGAGGTCGGAATGCGGGAGATGACATCAAAAACCGCGAAAATTGTCGCTATGGGGGGGGGGAAGGATAGCGATGGATTTAGAAACCAATTAAAAACAGGGGTTTCTAATGATATAATTAAGAGTTACCACTTAATCTACCACTAAATCCCAGGAGGACCCTTCTCGAAGTCAAGAACCTGAGTGTTCGCGAATGAGACCGTTAACAGTGCCTTTATGCTTTCCGGTGTAAGATGGTTGCGTAATTTCGACTTGAATATCAGTAACCTAGGCGATAATCTAATTTCAGGCGGAAGATTATTCCAAAGGAAGGCATATTTGGAAGCAAAGAAGAGGGAGCGCTAAGATGTAGTACAAAGAGGCGGCGGAATCACCATGCAGGAGTTGCGCGTGGCATAAGACCGATCTCTCGGAGTGAGAGTGTCAATGTGCGGAAGACTGGAGCTAGAGTTGATGCGAAAAAGGAAGCAAAGGCCAGCTTCGAGTCTTCTAACCCACAAAAACTTCATGTTTGCCAGTTGACATCTCTGAGTATAAGAAATACTGGACGAAGCTTGAGAGAACAGTTTCCGAGTGAAAACCCTCTGAACATTTTCGATTTTATTACGGTCGCACGCGCTCATTAAACCGAAGAAAGGACAGCAATATTCGAGGACTGGAAGAACAAACATTTGATAAAGTCTTAGCTTCATTTCCGGAAGGATTCGACTCATCAATATCTTCCTCCCAACTAGTCTCCTGCAGCACATTCCCAGAACTCCGATTTCGGCCTTCCTCGTTTCTCATACTTGCAAGCCCAGACAGTCGGATTATCTGAAGAACAATTCATCCAAAGTTTCTACAAAGGCTGAGTCGCTTTTCTACTATTAGACATTGTTTCATCATCGCCTCAAAGTGTTTGTCTAAATGTTTGCTCTCGGAAGCTTCTCGACCATACCGTCCCATTCATCTAATGAAGTTACTATCTACCGAAAGATCGTCATAAAGGCCTTTCCTTCATACTTAAGTCTACGCTCATTGTGTTTATAGAAAAGTCATCCAGAATGTTGGAGTCTGCACTAGTGTTCCAAAGTAACGCGCACTTGGCATTTGAACCGGGGACGTCAAAACTTAGAGCTCACTCCGCTAACCCCTAGACCACCGACGCACGGCTGGAGAGCTCAGTTAAAAGCTTTGTTAATTCGTCACCGCACGATCTGGTAGGATATTCATGTAATGGTTGTCAAACAATAGTCTACAAGATGCATCAACTAGAGGAAGAAGTAAGAAATCTGAAGGAACTTATACACAAGACTGTTCCTACGGAGGACCGCCCGGAGTTATCTACGCAGAGGCTAACTCGGAGTAGAGCGAGAGCCATCCAGCGTAAGGAATCCCCAGAAAGCAATTATGGGGTGAATAAGACAACTACTATTAGTAGTAAAGTTGTGGCTTCCGATGAAAAAAAGAATAAGAAGAAGAAGACGACACTTAACACCACAGGAAAAAGTCGCCAGAATACGAAAGAGAGTATATTAGCCTTACCCCAAAAGCGGTTAGAAAATGAAACGAATGTAAATGTACCAACGGAAGAAGTGGAAGTAATGGGGCAGATGACGCCCAACCTTAATAATTCCCAGACATATGGCTATGGACCCAGGGTGAAAGTAGCTGCCACCGCGAATTCCCATGTCAACAGAGTTAAGAACCGAGCTGAGGAAGCCTCCAATTCATGGGGGCCAAGCTCTCCACAGAGCCCTCTGATGGGAGGTATTGTTGATAGATCCCAGTGTGCAACTATTCACGATGCCTTAACAGGATCCGCGGACGAACTTCACGGGGACATAAATACCAATATGGCAGCCCCTTCCTCTTCTCCAGTCCACTTCGACGAGGCAATATGGCCAGCCAACGACGTCCAAATCGCAGAAAACAGAGGAATGCTTAACAAGGACCACTGTGTCATAATACAGGGCCTCGCAGAGTCCTCCGCCAGTTCCCCTAGGGAACGAATCGCTGCTGACTTAGAGCAATTCCAGAAACTCCTCAATGAAATGCTGCAACCAACGGAAGATGTCACAGTCCTTAAGGCGTTTCGTCTTGGTAGCCGTACAAATGCCACTCCGAAGACGCGACCACGACCCCTAAAAGTCGTCCTTGGTAGCAATGAGCAGGCGAAACTAATACTTTCCAGGCGTTTTCGATTGAAGCATTCCCATAAAGGAGTGTTTTTTTCAGCCGCACTACTCACCTGCCGAGAGAATGAAACGCCGCGAACTTGTCCTAGAATTGAGAACACGGCAAACCAACGGAGAAAAAAAACTTGACAATCTACAAAGACCGGATTGTCAAACGACATTCCGCCCCCCTCTGGATCAAGCCGATCCGAATGACTGCACAGCTACCCCAGTAGCCCGTGTCGGGTTTGAAAACAAATCTCGCATGAACTCGAAACTCATATTCATGTATACCAACGCGCAAAGTGTACTTTCTAAACTGGACGAACTCCGTATCCATACCTACGACCTCCATCCAGATGTTATCTCAATAACAGAAACATGGTTGTCCGAACAGGTTGATGATAGAGAGCTCATGCTCCCTGGATTTCAACTGTTCCGCCGAGACAGAGAAAACAGAAGGGGTGGAGGCATGGTTACATTTTTTAAGAACGGCTTGCACGTTTTAGAAAAAACTGCCCAACTGACTTGTAGTACCGAAGCATTATGGCTGACCATAAGGGCACCGGGCTCTCAAAGTCTCGATATCTTGACAGTATATCGCCCCCCGAGAAATGACTCTGACGCTGATGCCCAACTGCTGGAGGAGCTCAGATTATTTTCAACGCGTCCGACCACTCTCATCGTTGGAGATTTTAATGCACCTCACATCGACTGGAGCTCGGCCTCAGCCGACTGCTTTGAAGCAGCAATTGACCAGCAGCTACTGCGTACCTCCGACAACCTGCTTCTCACACAGAACGTAATGTTTCAACTAGAGTTCGAGAGGGCCAACAGATGAACTGCCTCGATCTTGTGTTCACCAAGTCGTCTGACAACATCGACGTTGTGAATTGCCTCCCCCCGTTGGGTCAGAGTGACCATGTAGTTCTCATGTGGGAATACACATTATTCTACCTTCCTGCACAACCGCTCGATTCCCGACCTAATATTTGGCTCGGCGATTTCGAACAGATGAAAAAAGATCTTAGTCCTATCGACTGGGCATCCACTCTCTCCGGCGATGTCGAGAAGGCTTGGTGTCAGTTCAAAGAGTTAGTCCACAACCTCATCTCCAACCACTGGCCAATCATGCGCAAAAGTCTAACAAATAGACCTCGCTGGTTGACTCCGTCCTTAAAGAAGGAAGTTACCAAGAAGAGGAAGCTATGGAAAAGATCTCTGACAGACCGCACGCGAGAATCCCTAAGCAGTTATAAGTTACAGAGAAATCGGGTCAAAATTCTCATCGCCAGAGATAGGAAAGCTTTTGAAAAGAATCTTTTGAACCGTGCCATGATAAATCAAAAAATCCTTTACAGCTACATAAGACAGAGCACACGGAACAAAGATCCTGTCCCACTGCTGCGAACGGCTGAGGGTGTGGAAATCTCCGATGACAAGGATAAGGCTGAACATCTCTCTTAGTTCTTCCGGTCAGTCGTGACAAGTGAACCTGCTTTTTCCTTACCCGCTTATGAAAACGATAAAACGCCTACCCTCGAAGCGGTCTTCTTCACCGAAACAATTGTTCGGAATGAGTTACTAAACCTAAAAGAATCGACCTCCCCAGGCCCTGATGCAATCCTGGCCAAGCTGCTGAAGGAACTAGCTTCCGAAATGTCCAAGCCGTTAGCCCTGATCTTTCAAACGTCATTTGTTACTGGATGCCTGCCCTCTGACTGGAAGTCCGCTACCATCACTCCACTTTTTAAGGGTGGAAGTCGTGCGTCTGCGAATAACTACAGGCCAGTGAGTCTTACCTCCATCTGTTGCAAAATCATGGAGAAGATCATTAAGAAGGCCTTGGTGCAGTTCCTCGAGCAGCACCATCTTCTTTCTGATGCCCAACACGGCTTTCGAAGTGGTAGGTCCTGCCTCACGAATCTGCTCTTGACGCTCGAACGCCGGACCAAAGCACGTGATGAAGGCAAGGTGGTGCACGCCATCTACATCGACTTCAAAAAGGCTTTCGACAGCGTTCCTCATCAACGTCTCTTGTACAAACTGCGCAACGCTGGAATTCGTGGACGCCTTCTTGTATGGATCCAGAGCTTTTTGGCTGGACGGTCCCAGAGAGTGCAGGTCGGGCGTCAACAGTTCTCAGATGTAAGCGTGGTGAGTGGCGTCCCACAGGGCTCAGTCTTAGGTCCCACGTTATTTCTCGTTTTCATAAATGACTGCGTCAAGGACCTAGACTGTAATGTCATCCTGTTTGCCGACGACGTAAAATTGTGGAGAGTTATTCACGATGCGGCAGACGCAGACCACCTGCAAGCAAACTTGAACAGGCTCGAAGACTGGTCGAAGTGCTGGCTTATGCCCTTCAATATAAGCAAGTGTAACTTTCTTCAACTCGGCGGCTTTAGAGCCCCCAGCCCCAGGACCAACTTTCTATACGGCACACCACTGCAACAGGTTGACAGTCAGAAGGACTTGGGTTTATGGATTACATCGTCACTCAAACCAACACTGCACTGCGCGAAGGCGGCTAAATCGGCTACGGCCACATTGCAACTCATTAGGCGAGCATTTATGGGATTTGACCCTGACTGCTTTTCCAAAATATTTGGCACCTTCGTGCGACCTCATCTAGAATACGCCATACAGGCGTGGAGACCCTGGACTGCCAAGGATTATACCGTCTTGGAGAAGGTCCAGAGACGGGCGACCAAAATGACACAAGGTTTGGGAGCCCTGCCCTAGGAAACCAGACTGTCAATCCTCAAACTGTTTCCCCTTTCCTACAGGCAATTACGTGGTGACCTTATACTAACATTTCGCATCATCAACGGCCTAGACTGTTGTTTAGATCCCACTGATTATTTCACCCAAGCTAACACGCCCACTTTGCGCGCTCATCCCCTAAAACTACGCGCAGGGAAATCAAGAACCAATGGACGAAAGTCCTTTTTCAGTAACAGAGTGGTTGCAGCCTGGAATGCCCTGCCTACCGATGTTGTAACCTCCTTCTGTGTGAACTCCTTCAAGTGTAGACTTGACCTGCCTCAAGCTTCCCAATTACCACCCCTACATCCACTCACATAACCCGGTACCATCTTATACGTGTTTATGCTACTTGTAATTAGTAAGTAACCATTAATGATTACTCTTTTTCTACTAGTCTCCAGCTGTCCGCGAATATGTACAAAATCCCTTTTTCACCTTCCCATTTATCAATATTTTTCTCCGACGACTTGTAGCCAAGAGGGAGTTCAAAGGCGCTTGCCTATATTTCCCTTTATAAACTGATACTGATACTGAATATCTCAAATCGATCTTAGTAGGAGACGAGAAATTCAAAGTATTAAAGGCTTTCAGGACGAGCCAAATTAAAGACTCAAAACAAGACCCAGAACGAGCAAGACCGAAAAAATTTTCTTTGAGAATGACGAACAAACGCAGCTAATTTTGAGCAGGAAAGCTGCGCTTTAACATGCCCATCCATAAGTTTATTTTTTCAGCGATACTTTTCACCCGCGGAGCGAGAAAAATGGAGGGAGCTCAAATTTGAAGTCCTCAGGCGGTCGAGTCTGGGCGAGACAAATCTTAGAATAGTAGACGAAACAATTATACGCGTCCAGAGGCAATTCCTCTGGAGAAAGCCCATAACTCTAACAGCTTAGGAGAGATGAAAAGTAGTTCATCCCGATCAGCTTCGACGTGCTTTTGCATTCAATCCCAGGAACTGGATAAACGACTGTATGCTGGAGTTGCTCGTGCCAAATTGAGATTTTGGTATACCAATGCTCAAAGTCTCTTTTCGAAGATCGACGAACTCAAAGTGATAGTACCATAGTACCGACGTCATCGCCATAACGGAAACTTGGATTAATGCCGAAAACTTGGATGCTAAAATTTCGATACCGGGTTACCAGCTGTTTCGTAGAGACCGCCAAAATAGGCAGGGCGAAGTGGTAATCGTATATGTAAGGAAGGGATGTCAGCAGTTAAAAGAGCCCACGCCCTCTCCCTTGCATATGGATCCGGCTGGAAACAGATTAAGAAGAGCAATGCACAAAATCTAGAATTTCTGGCGATTTATAGACAACCAAACCTTCTGAGTGCAGGTGATGAGTCGCTCCTTGGTTTGGTCAAAGGCGTAGCTAGCCACCAAGAGGTACTTTTTGCTGGGTATTTCAACGCACCTGCAATAAATAAATAAATTTTTATTTAATGCCAGTTTACAGGCATTGTCAAGGGAAGCGTTTAAACATTAATCCGACCGGCAGTGAAAAAAACGCCTGAGCTAAAGGGATAATTCCTGGCTTACATTAAAGACTGCGTAAATGACCTGGGATGCAGCGCCATCATGTTTGCTGACGATGTTAAGCTGTGGAAACCCATCAGATTTGACGCAGACAGGTACGCGCTCCAAGACATTCTCAACCGCCTGAACGGTCGGTCAGCTTGTTGGCTCCTTAATTTTAATGCGAAAAAATGTGTGGTCCTGAGACTCCGCACTAGACGGACCAGTAAGGAAGACGATTCCTTTCAATACGTCCTTGGTGGTCAGACCCTTTCAAATGTTATGGAACAGAAAGACCCCGGCGTCCTAATGACCTCCTCGCTGAAACCATCATCACAGTGACAAAGGGCAGCCAAAAGTGCGATAGGATGTTATTTGCGCTGAGGCGAGAATTTGTGCAGATCGATAAACAGCCGTTCGGAAAAACCTATGGGGCATTCGTCCGGTCTCACTTAGAGTATGCAGTCCAGGCCTGGCGACCTTGGTCGAAGAAAGATTATCAACGACTGGAAAGAGTTCAGGCGATGGCTACGAAGATGGTCAAGAATCTTCATCATTTGCCTTACGAAACCAGGCTGACCGAACTAAATCTGTTTCCTTTTAATTACAGACAACTGCGCGGCGATCTCATTTAAACCTACAGGATTGTCAGAGTTCGTAAGTGGGCCCTAGACTTTAATGAATTCTTTGAATTGACCGGGACTGACCGTCTGCGTGGTCATCCCTTCAAACTGCAAATGAAGCGGGCTCATTCGGACGTCCGACGGAACGCCTTCTCTCACAGGGTCATCGGGGCATGGAATGGACTCCCTGATGCCGTCTTCCTTTCCGGAAGTGTCAAATCCTTTAAGTGCGGACTAGATGCTCATTTTTTGAGAACCTTCTGTACATATAAAAATGATTTTTTTAGCGGCGGCGGTTTGCGCCTGGCTCACACTTACCGCTAACTTTTAATCTTTTCGCATTTGCTTATGTAATTGATGACTTTATTTCTGTTGATCGGTATGAATAGGGAGCTCAAGGGCGAAAGCCTCATCCCCTTAATAAACTGACTTAAACTGACTATTGGGTCCACCATAGGGCCTGTGCCCACTAGCTGTTTCGTAATTGTGCTCATATGTACATAATTTTCCGCCTAAGCAGTCACGTCCGCATGTGTTCAACTGACCGAGCTGCCAACTGCCTTTGCATGCTCCCAATGTATATGCACCCGCAACAACAATACAGCGTGATGTGGCGTGCATGGCCAGATTCTCTTTGTTGGTCTAACTGGGATGGCCCTTGTAGTGCTTAAGAACAAGTTTGAGCGGCATTTCGTCCGTTCGTTTCGGAAGTCGTCGCTTGATCACGTTTGACACATGATCACCCTTTAAAGGAAGGTACATATTCACTGACATTTTCGGCTCGGATATTTCAGCAGGAATTCCTTATCTGGGCTGGCGATATTTATTGATGAATTTCTACGGATACCCATTTCTAAAAAAACGTTCTCCAGGAAAGCAATTTCTTCATCAATCTTATCTGATGAACAGATTCTGGTGGCTCTGCAGAAATGACACAAAACTAGGTTCCGTTTCCTTTGAATTGGACCGAAACGGAGAAATGCACGTATTGTCCTGTTCAGGTGGGTTTTTTAACAGGCAGATCTCTAAATGAAATCGCCCCTCTGCCTACGTACAAGAATATCAAAAAAGGCAGTACGTCGTTCTTCTCATCCTCGATCGTAAAATTGATTTTTGCATGTGCTTTGTTCATGGTGTAAGTAGTAGTCATCCGTCCCCCCACCCAAATCCTCCACATATCGCCTATAGATTGAGACTCGCGGTAAGTTTCGGGCAAATTTTCACTCAAGGTTCGACATGAAAATGTCTGCTAGGATTACCATCGATAGACAATCCACAGCTGCACTGTCTGTCCGCCGATACAGCTGTCCGTTGAACAGAAATTGTACACTCTTCGTGCATATTTCTAGTACTTCCCGCAGTTGCCTTTGTGGCGGACATGCGTCACACGCGTGCTGACAAATTGTGTTAAACTCGCAAGGTGAACTTGCTTGTTTAGATAACTTCCCTGCCCCTCCTCCCTCGCCATGCGCACCCGCGTGTCAGACCTATGGCATTTTATCTCTTTAGGTCGATCTTTTGCTGAAAGGCTTACCTTGTCGTAAAAATACGCAATTTTCATAAGCAGTTGAATAAGAGGTCATGAAATTTTAGGTAAAGTCTACTAAAAATGATGAATGACTTTTACATAGTAGCAGTGGAACTCTGTGTGCGCCAACTATGGTGATTGTGCCTAATTTGGGTAATTTCTGAAGTAAGCATTATTTGTTTTTCTCTAACGCTGTCTCTGGTGAACGTTTCGATGGAGAAATAGTCGCCAGGATGCGAACAATGTGGCCAAAAGCCTATACGACGTTTCTGAATGTTCTCTGCATCAGCGGCATAATATAACCATATAGTATGCCACCTAAACTATGTTACCTACTTGCGCAACTTGATATGACATTTTAAAGCATCTTAAACATGACGTATTTTTTCTGGTCGCCTAATTTCTCTTTTTGAGAGCAGAATTTATTTCTTACGCAGTGGTACTTTCTTTAATGTGGAGTGGAAGTTCCTGGCCATTCCCAATACATTAAGGTCATAGTTATAAAAGGGATGGATAAATCTTTTGGGGACAGTTCAGCGCAGAGCAGAGCCCAGAAATCAAACCTCCAATCCGTACTGATGCTAAAGTCAGACTCTAGCTTCTTCTTGTCATGCCAACCACGGCACAAATTAAGTCGAATAGGCTTCAGTCGGACACGAATAGCTACAGCCTAGAAATAGCTTAATCAAATTTATTTCGCATGAATTCCTTTAACTTTTTTCTGTAAGATCTTTGTCAAGGATACCAAAGAGAATCCACATAACATTTATTAATCCAGTTTTGCACAATAAATCAAATTACATTACATCATTTTGACATAACACGATCTAGAATGGCATAACTGGGCGTTGGGCATTGCTAGTAGAACTGAAGAAGCCAGTTCGATGGAGTATTCTTGGAGAAAGCGACACGCTCGCTGAAACAAGTGCTTTATTAATCTGACGTTTCGGATTCTCACTTGAATCTATCAACAGAGAAAGAATCGGATAACTTTGCTGGGTTGCTTAGGTGTTGCAACATTTATACGATGAAGTTGCTAGGCCACTATAAGAATATCACAGTTGGCAGCTCCATAGAACATTACAGCCCGAAACAATAGGTGTTGAAATAGGCCGTCACCATGCAGTCGCTATGCGCCGGCATACCGGTCCAGCCTATCGGCTCCCTCGCTCATCGCAACCTTAAATCCGCTCTCACGGGCATTCAAGTTACCATGGAAGAAAAGGAAAACGACCAGCTAGCCTTTCTGGATCTTCTCGCCTGCCGCTAGGATTGTGGTGGCTTAAAAACCAAAGTATACAGGAAG